GACGAATGCACCTGATAATAATGACGAATGCACCTTATATAAAGACAAATGCACCTTATATAATGACAAATGTGCCTTATATAATGACGAATGCAGCTTATATAATGACGAATGCACCTTATATAATGACAAATGCGCCTTATATAATGACGAATACACCTTATATAATGACGAATGCAGCTGATCGTATGACGAATACACCTTATATAATGACGAATGCACATTTCATAATGACGAATGCAGCTTATATAATGACGAATGCACCTTATATAATGACGAATACACATTATATGACAAATGCGCCTTATATAATGACGAATGCACCTGATATAATGACGAATTCACCTTATATAATGACGAATGCACCTTATATAATGACGAATACACATTATATGACAAATGCGCCTTATATAATGACGAATGCACCTAACATAATGACGAATTCACCATATATAATGACGAATACACCATATATAATGACGAATGCACCTTATATGATGACGAATGCACCTGATATAATGACGAATTCACCTTATATAATGACGAATGCACATTTCTTAATGACGAATGCACCTTATATAATGACGAATACACATTATATGACAAATGCGCCTTATATAATGACGAATGCACCTGATATAATGACGAATACACCTAACATAATGACGAATTCACCATATATAATGACGAATACACCATATATAATGACGAATGCACCTGATATAATGACGAATTCACCTTATATAATGACGAATGCACATTTCTCAATGACGAATGCACCTTATATAATGACGAATGTACCTTATATAATGACGAATGCACCTTTTATAATGACGAATGCACCTTATATAATGACGAATACACCATATATAATGACGAATGCACCTTATATAATGACGAATGCACCTGATATAATGACGAATTCACCTTATATAATGACGAATGCACCTGATATAATGACGAATACACCTTATATAATGATGAATGCACCTGATATAATGACGAATACACCTTAAATAATGACGAATACACCTTTTATAATGACGAATGCACCTTATATAATGACGAATGCACCTTTTATAATGACGAATGCACCTTATATAATGACGAATGCACCTTATATAATGACGAATGCACCTTATATAATGACGAATGCACCTTATATAATGACGAATACACCTTATATAATGACGAATACACCTTTTATAATGACGAATGCACCTTTTATAATGACGAATGCACCTTATATGATGACGAATGCACCTTATATAATGACGAATACACCTTATATAATGACGAATGCACCTTATATAATGACGAATACACCTTATATAATGACGAATGCACCTTTTATAATGACGAATGCACCTTATATAATGACGAATGCACCTTATATGATGACGAATGCACCTTATATAATGACGAATGCACCTTATATAATGACGAATGCACCTTATATAATGACGAATACACCTTTTATAATGACGAATGCACCTTATATAATGACGAATGCACCTTATATAATGACGAATGCACCTTATATAATGACGAATACACCTTTTATAATGACGAATGCACCTTATATAATGACGAATACACCTTATATAATGACGAATGCACCTTATATAATGACGAATGCACCTTTTATAATGACGAATACACCTGATATAATGACGAATACACCTTATATAATGACGAATACACCTTATATGATAACGAATTCATCTAAGATAATATTGAATGCACCTAACATAATGATGAATACACATAAAATAATGATAAAATCACAGTAAGTAATTACAGGACAGAATCAGACAGTCACTGCGTTCTAACACAGACAATGAAATATTTTATTCTGGCGCTTTTGAGATGAAACCTTATAATCTTTCTTGACTGACTAACTATAGTAATTTTCCCAAAACGTAGTGAACATAATCTCCCTGTGGTAGACACCGTCTACCTTTACACCGATGTATCTGACAGACAGTACCTGTCTTAACACAGTGCTGTTCATTAAGATATCTACAATAGATAGACATCCCCTCTTCTGTATTGATGTTATTATCATTTGTCAGCAATAATTAATAAAATTTATCTGAGGCACCGACTTCCATAGCTGATCGAGGTCAAATTGTGACGTTTTGTAAAGCAAACATGTCGGTTTTTCGTCGTCACGTATAGAAAATTATTGATAACATTTAAAAACAACGTCAGATATATATCTTTGTTGGGTTGTATATATCTAGTAAGATTTGAGCTAATTACCAACCTCGGATGGAGATCCGAGGATCAGTGGTTCGATACCTCTACCCGTTTATCAAAATTCTGTGACAGGCATTCGGCCGCGTCCTTCAACATCCAAACCTGACACATCATTAAATGACGCAGGCTGTTAATAGGACATAAAAAACAATAAACTAAACCTGTGTCTTAGGGTTGTCTCACATAATAATCTTTCCCAAAGCTCGAAAGCTACATTTTACCCTTGCTTTGATGAATGAGTTTGTCGGAATTTGAAAAAACTTTTGCAAGGGATACTTTCAAATTAGTAGCTATAGTAGAAAAATTGAGGTTAATAGAAGTCGTTTCTTGTTTTATCATAAGTAATTTTTCTGCAACAGTTGTTCATATCACAAGCTTACACCAAATGACGTTGGTTAAACTTGGAGCGGTGTAGGATGCATTCTTTTTGGCAGCTTTGACTATTTATAGAAAGCGGTAGTCAACATCGTGGAACAATTTAATAATCGTCCATCGCAATATTTAAACATCGGAGGGGAAGAAAAACGCCATGTTTCCTAATGGCAAGTCTCCGGGAGCCTGAAGTTGGTTTCCAGTTCCTAGATCCGTTTAAGATTAAACGAAATGTAGTTTGTAGTTTACAAAACAATTTTCTGTCATATATTCCAACAATTCTAAGCAACATTCGATGACTCCGTCGATAGTTCTTACCTCTGTATAAACACGCATATCTTTTTTTAAGTGAGTGAATATATTCATTATATATGTCAACAATAAATTATCAAATTCGGGGGAGATAACTATGTTGATCTTACGCAGAAGTAGTATACAGCGACATGCTCAAGGGAAATAACTCTGTCAATCTTACTACATCCGTTGCAAACGTTAAAAAGAATAAATAATGTTATCAGTAACATATATCATATATATATTAATGTTTCCTGTCTAAATCATTGTTTGATATTAACATAAAAATGCTAATAAATGTGCAATGACATTTAATATGTATGTTTTTTAAAGTTCCTTTTTTCGTCTCACATTCTTTTCTCTTTCTTATCCTCTTATTGAATAATTCTTACAATAATTAAATTTCTGTATACTGGTATGATGTATACATTATCGTTTCTTTCCAGCGCTCTCTAGATCTTGTTGTAACGCTTTTTATATGTTCATTTGAGCAAGAGGATTGAACACAAATTATCTTTAAACATCTTGAAACCATTTCTTCAAAACTTAAAAAAAAAAAAAAAAAAAAACATCAGCAATGTCGAACTATCAACAGCTATACACAACACATCGCCAAACAATAGAACGACTTTAGAGCAAAAATTAAAAAATGAAAGAATAAAAAAAAAGACAGATATAAGAGTAGACGTGTTAATTAGTGTAGAATTGTATATGTGATCTGCACGATCTTGTGTATAGTATAGGTATACATGTAAACAAAACAAATAAACAAAACACCAATATAGTGGATTATTGATTTTTAATGTTTCCACAAAGGGCTGACATGTTTCGCTGGTTTCTCTGATCAATATACAAACACATAAGTTCGGATTGTAAGTAGTAAGCGGTTAGTATTGAAATAAACGAATACAAATTATCCATATGAAATAGTGCAAGTGTTTTAATGAAAATGAAATGAGAGATAAATAAATGCTGTAAAGAGTTTTTGCCATTTAACTTTATGTAATCGAAATTTTCACAAAAACGATAAGACAGTTATCGGAGAGCGTTTCATTCCTGCAAGTAGAACCTTAATTTCATTCCAAATCCTTAACCATAAAATCTGGTGGCAGAATTTTAATTTTATTTCAGTTTCTTTATCATTCTTAAGGAAGGGCGTTATTTCACGATTCAAGAATACAAGTCTTAACAAAACCGAACTAAAAGTTTCCAATTTTTCCTTGTTTGCCGACGGGGATATTTGTGTCGCTCTAACTCACCAAGATTTGTTTGAGAATTTGCCTTCGGTGGCTGCAGTTTTCGGAAGTTCTGTCACTGTGGTTTCATATACTTCACGACATAATCATTTCATTCTAACGCTTTGCTATCTTTATTTTGTGTTAACTTTGTCTACAAATATATGTATATTTACTTTGTAAAATTACTCTGTCGCGTGCAAAGTAAGTAAGTACTCTTGGGTGCAGTTTGAAACTTAATTCGTTTTATATTTGAAATTTGATTTTCCAAGTAAATTAATTGGCCTTGGTTTTCCTTCTGAATAGAAATTAATTTTTTTTTAAATATTTTCAAGAACAAATTGCGCAGAAGTCATGCACTTTTAAGTATTGTCATGATGTAGAGAATTGTGCAATTGTATATGAATAATATTATCATAATTATTTCATTCACACTTGAAAAAAACAACGCGGTTAGATGAATAAAAACAAAAATATTTTTTTTCGATTGTGGCAGCGGTTCCATGAAATTGACGTCATAGCTGTATATATTTAGTAGACGTAACGGTAAAATAAAGGTATAGGCCGTTTTACCTAGCTCTGCCGGTCTACCTGACAGGTGAAAAAATCTCAGATGATCTATTAACATCTCGTTATTCAGTGACAAGCGATGACTATAAAGCGATTTATAACTAGTTTCAACAGGTCACCGCTGATGTCATCAGCCGTGGCCACCGTCAGTTGTAAGACGAACGCCGATTGGTCAATATCTCGTGTTTCCTCGTGGAGTTTATATAAATAAGAACGGCATTCTACAGTTGTCAGATTTCATATGAAAGAAACACACTACAAAGAGCTATGAAGGTAAGAGTTTCTAATAATCTTTTCTGAATACTATCGAAATATACGTTTATTTACATAAACAATCATTGCTATTCTTTATCAGATCGTTTTAGATATAAACAAAAACCCGACTTCGAAAGAGAATCAATTTGTATTAACTGTGAAATGGCTTTTTAGAATGCTTTCGTCAATTTATAAATCGTGATAAAGATATATATTTTGAAAAATGGAAAAAAAAAATCAATTTGTCGATGACTTTCCCTCTCCTCAAACTGCAAGCACGTGTAAATGTTGCTTTTTATAGAAGTATACTAAAAAAAAACTTTTGAAATAAATATGTATCTGTTATTGATCTGTTATTGAACTCGTTTTAATTACGTTGGAAGTTCTGCAGGTATCTTAAAGTAATTTACACACTAACAATCTGACCTTTTTTAAACCCTTATCAGGTAGTGTTAGTGTTTTGTGCCCTGCTGGTGGCTACTCTAGGACAAGAACCGATTCTGACGGCGCCTGGGATTATAGAACCAGATGTAGAACAATGCGAGAAGGAGCTTTACAGATACCAAACCTGGGACGACGGTATCTTTTTTCCGCCCAGTGTACTTGGTCATCTTCCCCAAATGTAAGAATCTCGCTTTTTTAACTTTTGAAAAAAGAAATAAAACGACGCAGTTAAGAGTATATATCTAAGTAATGTACACATAATACCTATTTATTAATTCTTATCTGTTTATTTATTTTATTTATTTATTTATTTATATTCCACTGGTTGCTTTTTTTTTCAAAAGTATCGGATCAGAGAAAGTTCTCATTTACGCTAGTATTTCTTAATTTGTTTCGAGACTTGTTAAAATACAGTAATACATTTTCAATTCGAAGAGTGTTCTACACTATTGTTTGTTGACTTTTAGATTCTTTTTGTTTATCAGAACTTTCTTAACTCGTTTATGCTTTATTACTCATTATTTTATTTTTTTCGCCAATCTAAAAGCATATACTGTAAATGTACAAAATTTGGTGTTATCATATCTTCGCGCATCATCACTTTTTGGCAAATTAGCGCAATGACGAAATAACACATCCACTATTGATTGCTAAAAGAAAAAGATAAATTAATTATTTTCACCAATAAAATTGCTATTAGAGCAATAATATTTTAGCGCGATATTTTCAGCAAGAAAAAAAAATAAAATAAGATCACCACTGAAATTTTTACGTTTACAGTATTTTGAATTGAAAATCAGAATTAATTAGTATATCAAAGTGTTTTAATCGTTTCAATCATTGTAGTTATTACTGTATGTAATTTTATTTAAGTTTTTTTTTCTGATATCTTTATCTATTTATTTTACTCTTATTTTCAGTTATGAAGCGGAAATTGATCATTCTTTTAATCTTCCAAAACATCAACTTCTTCTCCAAAAAATGGACAACTACTCCAATTACCAAAATGCTCTCCCGGACATGAGAGGAGAAGGGTAAGTAACACCAATACGATCGAATTCGTATATATATTTTGGGCTTTCTGTTTTGAAAATGCTGTATTCTCGTAATTTCATATACATACTGTAATAATATCAATTTTCGCGAGAGATTTATTTTCGTTGATTTTATTGGTTCTCTTAAAGAACAGGTTCATATGTCGATGAACTAGTATTAAAAATTGTACAAGATATTATTTATATATTTATTCATATTATTAAGGCTCTACGAAATATTGTTTTTTTTTTTTTAAATTATCTCCACGAAAATATATGTTACTACAATATATTCTGCTTTGCTACATATGTACGGTGTTTTTTTATCTCTAAATTGTAAAGCAGGATTGACGATATTGCTTTTTTTGAAAACCATTCTTTTGTTTTTGTTCTGCAGGGACTATGAGGATTGTAAAGACTTGTGTCCATCCACTAGCATCGAAGTTGGTGCTGTGGCGATTGAAAACATAACCTATGATAGCAATGGCAGACCTCAAATGGGAATCTGTCTTGTAGTGTATCCGGAGTTCCAGAACTTCAAATACCAGTCTTGTGTGTAAGTACCGACTTCATCCTTCAATAAGCCCGGCGAGTCAAAACGTTACCCCTGACTCAAGCCAAAGGTGGACAAAATTTCATACATTATGGCAATTTTCATAACTTGACTTTTGATACCAGACATGGGCTTATTTCCAAACTTTTTTTTTAAACTTTGAAATCTATTTTGATACAAATGTGTTCGTGACTATTCCGCATTCAAAACATAAAATCTCTGACGTCATTTATTTCTGTTTTTGACATCAGTCTTATATATGTATTTTCACATGAAAAAAGAAAGATTTTTTAGAAAAAAAAGATATTTTAAGATTGTTGTATATGAAAACATTTTTTTCTTTTTCTTTTTTAAAATTTATCCATACATTCTTTTTTATGCATACAATGCGTTTTATTTCGATTAATCTTCCTTATATATTTATCATTTGTTTATTTATTTATTTTATGACAACAAAGTGTGAATAAATAAGAAGTTAAACAAAGGATTGAGTAAAATAATCAAGCTTCCTTACGTTTGTGTTTTTCTTACTTTTTAGCTCACAACTTGCATTAAACGTGCCATGGACTAACGACTTCCAGATGAAATATGCCTGTGTTCCCGACGGTTTCATCAGGAGGAAGCTCATCGTCTTCTGCCCTACAGCTGCAATGGGACAATGTCGTGAAGTCGAAGTATCCGTTCCTATGGCGTGCAGTCCAAAACTAGCCAAATGCACATTTACTGACGATTATGTGAAAAAGATGAACGCAGAGAAGGCACGAAAAGCGGAGGAAAAACAAGCATCTGGGCTGTCATCCCTTCTCAGTCGTTCTCTTAACAGAGGGAGTGGATAACAAATGAAAAGAGACTTAACCCTAGATCCAACTTTTAGATTTGATACGAAATATGTACATATTATGCCTTGTGTGAAAGTTTTATGATGATAAGTAAATATAAGCATTGTAAATACCATCGATTTTTTCCATACATTTGATAAATATGATCCGTTTTAATGTTAAAGTGACATTTGGTGTTGATTTACTTTGTTTTTGTTGTTGTTTGTAATTGTAATTTGTTTATGTTAATTTTGTTAACCTGCCCAACGACGTGATATTTTCCAAAGGAACGTGCAATAAAAACTTTTCCTATATTTTATAGTCTGTCTTCTGTGGTTTTTTAACATTTTAAACAATTAATGGTAAGCAGAGGACATCACTTGAATTTCCATTCTGCATTAGGTTTATAAAACCGTATTCTTACAATTTTTCATTTTACCAGACCAAGGGCGCGTATTCATTAAACTATGGCAAATTCAATGTTATATCCTCGCTCAATATCTCTTTCTTACGTGACGTCACAATACACATGACGTCATGAAGTTATGACGTCACAACTGAAGTAAACAAGCCTTTCAGCCAATACAGTGCCGCCAGGTGTTATTGCAATGAATTAGGCTGTTATAATACTTAATCCCATACCTAAGTCTGCTTCACAACTGATATGTCACGTGATAAACTTGTAATTTTCATTCAAAGCGTTCACTTGTTCCTGTCTGACAATTCTGATTGGTTAACATGTGAACTTTGATATCGGTCTGCTTCTCAAGCGCATCGTCTGTCCATGAAAAATATCAACATGGACACCAATCATCAGCTCATGGTGACCAAGAAAATCACTCCTTCACTGAAACAAATGCAAACATCAAAACTCGGTATTTATGCACCCAACTCCAAAGAAATAAGATAAATATCGTGTTTACGTGTACAGAGAAATCGTCTACATTTGTCCGTGGCGTGATCTGTATGAAATAACGCGATTTGATGCCTTGTGATCATTTAAAACGCATGCACGATGGTTATCCAATTAGCAGAGGTCTTGAAGACAAAGAAACTGGAAAGTCTTTGACTAACAACTCAGTGAGGAGATATCGTACTCATGTAAACTGATAACAGGGTAGTTATGTAATGGGTGTTACAACACTGATAACAGGGTAGTTATGTAATGGATGTAATTACCCTGATAACAGGGTAGTTATGTAATTGATGTTATTACACTGATAACAGGGTAGTTATGTAATGGGTGTAATTACACTGATAACAGGGTAGTTATATAATGGATGTTATTACACTGATAACAGGGCAGTTATGTACTGGATGTTATTACACTGATAACAGGGTAGTTATGTAATGGATATTATTACACTGATAACGGGGCAGTTATGTAATGGATGTTATTACACTGATAACAGGGCAGTTATGTGATGTGTGTTATAACACTGATAACAAGGTAGCTACGTAATGGGTGGTTTTACACTTATAACAGGGCAGTTATGTAATGGGTGTTATAACACTGATAACAAGATAGTTATGTAATGGGTGTTATTACACTGATAACAGGGTAGTTATGTGATTGATGTTATTACACTGATAACAAGATAGTTATGTGATGGGTGGTTTTATACTGATAACAGGGTAGTTATGTTATGGGTGTTATTACACTGAGAACAGGGTAGTTATGTAATGGATGTTATTACACTGATACCAGGGTAGTTATTTAATGGGTGTTATTACACTGATAACAGGGCAGTTATGTAATGGATGTTATAACACTGATAACAAGACAGTTATGTAATTGGTGCTATTACACTGATAACAGGGTAGTTATGTATGTAATGGATGTTATTACACTGATAACAGGGCAGTTATGTAATGGATGTTCTCTCATTTCCACCTGTGTCAGATAGGCCTCTCCAGGGCAATAAACATGGTCATGATAGACGTTTATTACACAGGCGCCTGTGTAATAAAGCCGCGCGCGCGGAGTAATTCATAGTTTTTTCCCGCGCACTCATCGACTATGTCCTCGTCATCCGCTTCATCCACAAACACGCATAGTCGATTGGAGTCATTGTTTGCAGGCTCGTATTAACAAAACTGTTTTATAAATATCAACATCACCAACCCTGGGACTCAGCCTTTCCGCCGTCGTCCACGTGTGATTGAAAGTGACAATGACTAACTTTCCTCCTGTCGGTGTGGCGCGAAATGCGTGACGTAAGTGACGTCATCTCACAAGCAAACCAAGAATTCCATTAATAAATGTGTAAGATTTGTAAGATTACTATTGACAGTGAAGTAGTATTAATAACTTGACCAACATGTTCAAAGATGTAAAACGTGTTTATGATATATTATACATTGAGCAATAGTAAATATTAAAAAGAAAAGCGTTGTTTTATTGTGTGTTTTAAGGCACTATATTTGAACGCGTACGCATGTCTCTGGGTGATATATTTGACAGGGTATTTGACCCAGCCCGCTTGAAGAAAAAACAGTTAAACACTGACGTTGGATGTTTATATTCAAAGTCCATATTATGTTTTCGTTCGGGGATGGAGAATCTGTTTCAGCATTTTTTTTTTTTTGATGTATATGGCCCAAGGAAAAAAAATAGAAATCTGAAAAATGGCGGCGTCCAGTGACGGCTACCGCGAGATGAGTGCAAATATTTGATAATATGAGATTAGAAATGAGAGAAAAAAACTCTTTTCTATATGGGTATGTAGGATAGGGATATTCCACCCTCGGGATCACAAAATATGGTAAAAACCCTCAGCAAGCCTCGGGTTTTACCACATGTTGTGACCCCTCGGGTGGAATATCCCTATCCTACATACCCATATAGAAAAGAGTCTTATATTATTACACTGATAACAGGGTAGTTATGTAATGGGTGTTATTACACTGATAGCAGGGTAGTTATGTGATTGATGTTATTACACTGATTACAAGATAGTTATGTAATGGGTGGTTTTACACTGATAATAGGGTAGTTATGTAATGGGTGTTATAACACTGATACCAGGGTAGTTATGTAATGGGTGTTATTACACTGAGAACAGGGTAGTTATGTAATGGATGTTATTACACTGATACAAGGGTAGTTATGTAATGGGTGTTATTACACTGAGAACAGGGTAGTTATGTAATGGATGTTATTACACTGATAACAGGGCAGTTATGTAATGGATGTTATTACACTGATAACAGGGCAGTTATGTAATGGACGTTATTACACTGATAAGAGGGTAGTCATATAATGGGTGGTTTTACACTGATAACAAGATAGTTATGTAATGGGTGTTATTACACTGATAACAGGGTAGTAATATAATGAATGTTGTTACAATGATAACAGGGCAGTTATGTAATGGACGTTATTACACTGATAAGAGGGTAGTCATATAATGGGTGGTTTTACACTGATAACAAGATAGTTATGTAATGGGTGTTATTACACTGATAACAGGGTAGTAATATAATGAATGTTGTTACAATGATAACAAGATAGTTATGTAATGGGTGTTATTACACTGATAACAGGGTAGTAATATAATGGGTGGTTTTATACTGATACCAGGGTAGTTATGTAATGGGTGTTATTACACTGATAACATGGCAGTTATGTAATGAATGTCATTACACTGATAACAGGGTAGTTATGTGATTGATGTTATTACACTGATAACAGGGTAGTTATGTGATTGATGTTATTACACTGATAACAGGATAGTAATATAATGGGTGGTTTTACACTGATAACAGGGTAGTTATGTAATGGGTGTTATAACACTGATAACAGGGTAGTTATGTAATGGGTGTTATAACACTGATAACAAGACAGTTGTGTAATGGATGTTATTACACTGATACCAGGGTAGTTATGTAATGGGTGTTATTACACTGATAACATGGCAGTTATGTAATGGATGTCATTACACTGATAACAGGGTAGTTATGTGATTGATGTTATTACACTGATTACAAGATAGTTATGTAATGGGTGTTATTACACTGATAACAGGATAGTAATATAATGGGTGGTTTTACACTGATAACAGGGTAGTTATGTAATGGGTGTTATAACACTGATAAAAGGGTAGTTATGTAATGGGTGTTATAACACTGATAACAAGACAGTTGTGTAATGGATGTTATTACACTGATACCAGGGTAGTTATGTAATGGGTGTTATTACACTGAGAACAGGGTAGTTATGTAATGGATGTTATTACACTGATAACAGGGCAGTTATGTAATGAATGTTATTACACTGATAACAGGGTAGTTATGTAATGGGTGTTATAACACTGATAACAAGACAGTTGTGTAATGGATGTTATTATACTGATAACAGGGTAGTTATGTAATGGGTGTTATTACACTGATAACAAGACAGTTATGTAATGGGTGTTATTACACTGATACCAGGGCAGTTATGTAATAGATGTTATTACACTGATAACAGGGCAGTTATGTAATGGATGTTATTACACTGATAACAGGGTAGTTATGTAATGGGTGTTATTAAACTGATAACAGGGTAGTTATGTAATGGGTGTTATTACACTGAGAACAGGGTAGTTATGTAATGGATGTTATTACACTGATAACAGGGCAGTTATGTAATGGATGTTATTACACTGATAACAAGGAAGTTATGTGATGGGTGTTATAACACTGATAACAAGGCAGCTATGTAATGGGTGGTTTTACACTGATAACAGGGTTGTTATGTAATGGCTGTTATAACACTGATAACAAGATAGTTATGTAATGGGTGTTATTACACTGATAACAGGGTAGTTATATAATGGGTGGTTTTACGCTGATAACAGGATATTTATGTAATGGGTGTTATAACACTGATAACAGGGTAGTTATGTAATGGGTGTTATTACACTGATAACAGGGTAGTTATGTAATGGGTGTTATTACACTGATAACAACATAGTTATGTGATGGGTGTTATTAAACTGATAACAGGGTAGTAATATAATGGGTGGTTTTATACT